TATTCTAAAATGCAGTTGTCCATGTCAGATTCTTCATATTGTTTTCAATCCCTTTAAAATTTTGTGGTTTTTTGGAATTTTAAAAATAAAAAATTAAATACGGGGATCTTTAGATTCACCTACAACAAATCCAGTGTAACATAAGCATCTTTATAACACCAACTTGTGCAGTGCATAGGTCCCATGTTAGATTTCTCGAAATTATTTGCAACCCCTCTAGAATTTTGTAATTTCTTTTTTACATTTTTATGATAAGAAATTAAATATAAGGCCATTTTAGCTCACCCACAACCAATTTAGTTAAGAAACTGAATGTAACATTAGCATATTTTGAATACCAATCCACGCAGCACTGGATTTTAACTATATTCTAAAAATGCAGTTGTCCACATCAGCCTATTCCCTCTTCCTTCCATAGACCATACCTATTCATCATTGTGATTTTTTTTTTTTTATTTCAAAAAGCAAAAAAGATAAAGCGTGGGCTATTCACAACCGAATCAGTTTTCTTTTTATTAGGAAAATGTAATCACTTAAAACATAGTCATCTTTTTAATACTACCTCGCATGGGGCTCTTTTAGGGGTGAGCATTCGATTTATTCGGTTAAAAATCAAATCGAATAAACCAAAATTTAAAAAAATGAAATAAAAGATGAAAATTGAACTAAAACCGAAATTTTCGATTTGGTTTTTAGTTATTTTGGTTAAAATATTATATATATTATAACCTATAATATATATATATATATATTATGAAATTGAATTTCATAACACATTATATATAATATATTAATATATAAATATATAGCATATTATATGTTATATATTATATATTATATATTATACAATGAATTTTGGTTAATTCAATTTTTTCAGTTAACTGAATTTCTAACTCTGATAACCGAAACTAAAAATCAAAATTCCTAAAAATCGAATTAATCAAACCAAATTACTCAAAAACCAAATAAAATCGAAACCAAAATTTTCTATTTGATATTTCGATTTTAACCGAATAATGCTCACCCTTAGGCTCTTCTAGTGTAATTCAAATTAAACTATTCCAAATCTTAGCCATTCTCTTAATTTTATTTAGAGAAAATATCTAATATTTAGTTGGCATGTTAAGAGAATTTGTTTCAACGAGAGATTTTCATTCACTCTTCAACAAATAGATGATGTGGCAATTGACGGTTCTCCTGTTTGAGGTTTCCTTTCCTTTGCCTTAATTAACCTGTGACATCTCTCCATAAACCATTAAACTTCCCTAGCTCCCGTTCCTTTGCCCTAAACCGTTACTCCACAAACCTCCTTAATTAGAGCTCGTTCTCTCTCACACACATATAATAAGGTCCGACCACCTTTTCTTTCTTTTCAATTAATACGGCTGTTTCAGAATTCCGACCAAAATTCGTCTGAAAGCATATTCTCTCGTGATCAAGGAATTCTCAGGTAATGGAGTAGAGGTTTGAACATTCTATTTTATGTAAATAAATTATTCTTGTATGCTTTTTAATGATCTCTTTTGAAAGTTAAAATAAAAAGTTAAAGCTTTCTATTACATTTTGCATTGATTCATAGAATGTTTAAATCCCATCAGTAGTGCTAAGAAGGATTAAAAAAAAATATTTCTTTGAGAGAGCCCTTAGGCAACTTCATTGCATCAAACCAGCATCAAGTACAGGCCTGATAAAATCAGGAGGGAGAGACCAAGACATTGGTCTTAGGATAGTACAACAAATTTAGCTATAGAGTAGGAGACCAAAAAATGAGAAAAAGGATGACAAAAGGTTTCTGAAGTCGTCTGTGACATTGTTTAGCCGCCACGACGATTGTCCAACAGAAGAGAAATAACCTTCTGTGCGTCTCCTTCAAGCCAAATGTGAGATTTAAAGCCATTTGAAGGCCTGCAGAGATGGGTCGACTAGGCCTTCTTTTTAGGTACCTACCAAGATAGGCTGATTAAAGTATTTATAAATAAGACTGTGTTTGAAAACGATGCAAATGGAGTATAAATTTCGGTTCAAGGTAAATTTGTATGGGAGAATGATGGTTCAGCCCAATGTCAGAATTTTTAGGCTTAATTTACAATTGGGGTAGGTGCTAGTTCGGAATTGATGTCAATTCACAAGGGGGCATTGATGTATAGGGTGGAGGTATTTGACATTTTGAATTTTTGTAGGTTTACAGTGGAATTCAGAATTCTTCAATGAATTATATCATACTTTTCCAAAATTTGCATTCTGGTTCACTCTTATCCGTTTGGCAACATTGCATTTATGCATTGACAAATGACAGAAAACACAGTTTCAAATGCATATTTACATTAACAATAAGATGTAAAAGTACATCAATAAAAAGAAGTAAATTTGTACTCAAGTGGGCTTTTGATACAAAAAAGACATACTTTATTGGAATTGGTGTTTGCATCCATTATAACTAAAAATCTATTTGGTAAAAAAGTAATTTTGTCCATGCAAAACTAACCCAACTTTACAATTTATATGAACTATTTTATATCTACATATTTACATTCAAAGTTAATTGAAACAAGAAATGGCCCATATCCTGGTCCAACCACGTTGATCCATTTGATCTACCCGATTATTTAATAACATTTTCTATGAATCCCCCAAACCCTTTTCTCAGCTACGAGGCAGGTGACATAACCAATAAAAAGTCCATGAAATTTCCTTTTTGTTTTCCACATTTTTGTGTCTTCTTCAGCCTACTTTATCCCCCTCATTCACCTATTATTTATTCCAGTCGTTTTACTCTATAATATATTTTATACCATATGCGTAGAATATTATGTTTGGGACATATCAATTTACACATGCGAGAATCCATTAAAAAAAACTAATTAATGACAAAATGTTTTAGATGTTTGTGTAGGATGCATTAATTATGAAGCATATAGAAAATAAGCTCATATAACTATAGGGTGGGCTCATGGTCAGGTCAGGGATAGGGTCATGTTAGGGTTTTCATCCTTCAAAGTTCAAACCCCAATCGAGTTGGTGTGTTGCTGCCCCGGCCGGCATGGTCATGATACCCCTACATAAATATAAGGGTATTTTTTAAGTTTGGTAATGATTTCTAAGCCCATAACTTTTAAAGTAATGGGTTTGTTCTCATGTTTATTTTGGTTTTCTTTTTCATTCAATATGAAGTGACACCTTGGAACCCATAAACCACATTTCAACTTAAATTAATTGTTGTTGGGTTTTCAAAATGTACTATAAAAATACAATTGGAAAGGAGGGGGTGAAGCAAACCTATATCGAACTAGATGGTTGACATCCCTAACCTAAACAGAAAAATTATTTCATGTTCATAATCTTTGAATTTTATATTTCATTTACATTATCAATAAAACTAATTTTTATTTATCAAACCTACTTTTATCTAATATGATTAATATATATATATATATATATATATATATATATATATATATAATATTAGAGATGTATTTAAATTTTTATATATTTGAATTTTCTACAATTCTATGTATTCTTTCTATTTAAAAAAACAAATCATTTAACTATTAGAGGTGTGTTTAATTTGAGTGGCTGAACCTTGACCCGCAAACTGAGTAGTAAAATTGTTTCATTTCTAGATCAGTTTTGCTTTTGTATTCCATGAATTTCCCTCATTAATAAAAATACTTCCTATTTGTCAAATTTATTTCTGTTAAATATGACAAATATATAATAGTATATATATGCCCAAAATTTTCTAGAACATTTCTATATTCCTTTGTATTTTTATCTACTTTTAAATTTTTAGGATCTAATTATGGCATCATGGGATGACCAATTTAATTATAAAATTTAATGACGAGAAACAAAAATACCTCAAACATAGAATTCAATGAGAGATAGCATGAGTTAATACCTTAAATATGGGACTCAGTTAATGAAAGGAAATAAAATAAAATGAAAATTACAATTTCTGCTCTCACAAATCACAATAGGACAAAATAAAAAAGAGGGGCAATTTAGCCAAGAAGATGTGCATAAGACTTGAAGAGCTATTTTTTTATAGTAATATAATATGAATATAGATATAGATATAAATTATATCTAACATTTTTCTTTTATTCTTAGATGCCCATGATAAGTATAGGCCTTCTGCTAGTTTGGATTTTAAAATAATGGAATTAACTTCTAAGCCAAAGAATGATGACATTCGTATATGGCATGTGAATTGTTTTTAATTTAATTATGACTTCCAAAAATAAATCAAAACCATCAGGTTTGAAAACAAGTAGATTCTTAAAAGAAATACGCAGAAAACATGTTCTTGGTTGTATGTGTTATTTGTCTTTAAAACTAAAACAAAAAACATATTCTTGAATCCTGGTTGGAAAAACATGTTTTCATGTGATACCATGTTTCTTTAGTCACATAATAATGTACTTTAAATTTATTCTTTGCTCCGCTTTTTAAAATAAAAACACTTTTTAAGAACATGTTTCAATTATTTAGGGGATTTTTGACAACATGGTTGGTTTTGTTTTTGAAAAAGAAAACAAGTGTCACAACACCAAAACCAATATAATTTTGCTGATGCAGCAGTTCAACCATTTTGTCATACTCCCTATAGTGTTGAAAAATTAAACAGAAAATACCAAGGTTTTTAAAACCGACCTGGAGAGTGAACCGGTCAGGGGTCCAGTTCCCGGGTCCGATTTTGAAAAACATGAAAAATACTAAGGTTTTTAAAACCGACCTGACCGGTTCCTGATTTTTCCGGTACTACCATCCAGTCCAGTCCGATTTTGAAAACCATGGAAAATACACAATAATTCATAATTTGTGTACTCAAAAAGAGTGCAAACAATGATCACTAAATTCTATAATTAATGAATCTACTTTTTTTCCTTTTTCTGGCTAACATTTTATTGTCTCATGTTCAAAAGTCTATAAAAATATCGGAACACATAATCCTTCTGTGAATGTGGCAGGTTAAGGGTCATAAAACTACAAAGAGATTAATGGAAAATCAAGCTAGCCAAGGCTCTCAAGGTTTGACACCCTCAACAACATTTGTTCAAGCAGATGTTAAGGACGTCCAAGAGTTGGTTCAGTGCTTAACCAGAGCACGTGGCGATCAGCAAACACGAACTGTAGGTGCAGCAACTGATGCAGCTAATGAAGGGGTACCTTTGAAGGTCACAGGAGGAGCCAGGAGACCAACTTCAAGGCTCCATGAGAGATGGCAACACACAAGGCCCAAGCTGCAGATGGTAATTAATAAACCGGGTTCTCAATCCAACTCTGGTACATTTTTTCTTCAACCAGCTGGATTCGGCTTTCCTTCACCTACTGAGCAAGCCTTTTCCCCTTCCAACAAGTCTGCTAACTCTAGTTCCGCAAGTCCTTTGTCCACCCCAACTAAGATTTTGTCCAGCAACATTTCCATCTTGAATGATAAAAAGGAAGGTACAACACTCGTTAAAGTAAACAACAAAGATGTGGAACAGAAAGCAATTAAAGAGAAACACTTCTATTTGATTTCACCCCGGTCTAAACCAGGAAATTCTGAACCGGAGTTGCTCACCTTGTTTCCACTAACTTCTCCCAAAACAGCTCATGAATCTTCTTAGTATGGTTATTGGTTTACTTTCTTTTGATATCAAATGTTTTTGAATTATATACTTTAAAAGAAATAACTGCAGCAATGATCATATAGACCCCCCCCCCCCCAACTCTAATATAGAGGGAGGTCAAAAGAGTCCTCTCACCTCAAATGTTCATATAGACCTCCCTCTCTTATTTGTCACAAATGTGTTTATTTATATTTAAAATAAATTATTTACAGTATAAGAAGTCATATATAATTAATAAAATCCCTCTTACATCTTTTATTCTTTCTTAATTTTTGAAATAGCCCTCAGGCTTGTTTTCATTCAACCACCAATAAAACAAGGTAATTACATAGTTATGTTCTCCTGGAAAGAATAGCAGCAATATATACATTGAGGACTCTGTAGCCAACTAAAACAACCATTCAAAGAAAGAACAGATGATCAAAGGCTGTGAGCCACTTGATTAGCTACCATGTTAACATGATTTGTGGAGAAGAAACTGAAATTCCAAAGGAAATCCCTGTAATTGGCTACAATAGACTAAGGTTGTGTTTTGTATCAACGTTTTCGAACCGCCTTTGACCTGGATGATTGGACCGTTCGGCCTGGGAACTGTTCAGGCAGCCGGTTCTGTTTTACCCCACCCGGAATCTAAGCAAAAAACGTTGACTCGGGCAGTCGAACCGTCAACCTGTTCAACGGTTTTTTGCCGTTTTTTTATTTTTTATTTATTTTTTAATTTTATTGTCAGAACGGGCCGCCCATTCGAACCGGACAGTTGGACCGTTGACCCACAAACCGGTCGCCAAAACGGTTTCATTTCCGGGTTGTTTTTTAAAATGTTGTTTTGTACCATAGCAACTTGTAAAGTTATATGTAATTGGTCAATACAAATTTTTTTAAAATTGTCTTGTCATATCACATCAAATAACTATTCCCACTAAAAAAATATAGGCATTAGATTGGGTGTTTGGCATTTATAGTAGAAACACCAAATTTGAGTTTCCTCAAGAAACAACAATGATACCAAATGTTGAAATGATAACTCAAAGCATTTGTGATAGAAAAAAAAATATTCTCATAAAATTTATATTGATTGACCTAAAATGTTGCAAGTAGAAATGGCAATGGTATTAAACACAACCTAAGTATGCCAATGTAAAGAACACGGCATTTCCAACAAAGATGAACCATTTCCAAAGAGTCTCCCTAAAAAATTACTTGTGTCTAAATTTTAATTTGAAGAGCAAGAATAATCCTTTCTTGAAAATGCTAAGGCTTGCACATCAGAGTCCAGATTACCTGCCAACAAAGTACTTTCCAACATGATCTGAGACCACACATCTCATATATAGCAGGTCCCACTTTTATGGTAGGTCCCAGCTTTAAGGTGAGATATGCGATGACAGATCATGTTGGTATGGTGTTGAAATGTGTTCTGTTGGCAGTAGATCCCAACTCTCCACTTCAATGGGGTACAAACGTGGAGTGGTTTGGCACAATTGACCACATGATGACCTCTGGAGTATCTAATTACAACACCCAAACTCGAATTACCATGAAAAGAAGCTCCATCCACATTTACTTTTCAGAAAGCCATGCTTTGGGCTGGACCATCTCATTGCACCATAACTACTATCTGCAATATTGATAGAATTACCATGTCTTGAGTTACTTTTTCTGCCTTCAATCTTATTAAAAACAATTAGTGGGGACCATGCGATGCACGGGAAAATCTGAAAGATTTAATAATTTTATATACTATTAATTAATATTAAATTAATAATCAAAAGTTGTTGTTAATTAACTAAAAATATTCAAAGTTATTGTTAATATCTAACATTTTAATAATTGTATTTTTCATGTAATGGTAATTTATAGAAAATAATTATTGTTAATTTAATATGAACAAATATTCTTTAATAAGTTTAGTTTTATTAATAATTTGTAGTAATTTTAATAATTGTTATTATTTTTATTGTTTTTAAATGAAATTTTGATTAACTTTAAATAAATAAAAATAATTACAAAAGCTAACATTTTTATTAATTTCACTAATAATTAACAATTATATAGGAATGACAACATGGTGGGTTTAGGGGGAAGCACCCCATCCCTATCCCTGCCCCATAGTCAAGACACTCTACCCCATCCCCGCCCCATCCCTAGTGTCAAGCAGGTTCAAGGCAAGGCAAACACTCCTCAATGTCGGGCGAGTTCAGGGGCAAGACACCCCACTCCTCATCAAGGATGGGGAATCCTCGAATTTCCCCGTCCCGTCCCCAGTATTGGGAGGGTTCAAGTAGAGGTGTAAATCGGGTTGGGCTGGGCTGGCATGGCACGACCCGCATGTGGCCATAGGTAATTATATAGGAATGCCATGTTGACCCATAGGGCATCCTGAGTTGTGCCTCCTTCCCTTCGGATAATTTGGGGGGCATGGGCCTGTGTCGTGCCATGGGCCGGTCTAGTCCATGGGCCGAGCCATGGGCCAAGCCAAGGTGCGGATTGGGCCAAGCTATAAGAGGTCCATTTAAAAAAATATGAAAAATATGTTTAAATTTTTATTTCATATTATTTTTGATGTATACAATTGTTTATATATACAATTAGACCTATTCATGGATTGGGTAGCCCGACGGCCCGGCCCGTGGGCTCGGGCTCGGGCTTTCTCAAATAAGCCCGACCCGATACTATTACATATATAAAAAAGTACTTATGTTATATATAATAAATATATAACATTAGGAATATACTATTACATATATATATATGCTTCTTAAATTATTAATAAATATCAATTTACTATTAGGAAATACAAATTACTTTATTAATTTATTAAATTACTACTAAATTAATATAATATTAGTTTATAAAAGTATATTGAAAATAAGACATTTTGTATATAGATCAGGCTTCGTGCTTTAAATAAGGGCTTGGCTCGAGCTCAAGATCTAGGCTCGATGGTCGGGCCGGGCTCGGGCTCGGGCTTGCACATTTTATGCTGATAGAGGTTTGTGTTAATTATAAAACTATGGTTTTTTTTTACAAATTCAAGATTTTATTTAATTCTAGTCTAGTATAAAAAAAATATGTAACATTTCTATATATATTAATATAAAATGTGTTATTTAAATATTATATAATAATATTTACCATATATGCATATAACTTCAAAGTTGAGCTTATTAGGGGTTGTTTAGCTTGAACCCTATCTGCTAAAGCCACCATTGGACTCCAAAAGTTTGATACCCAATTAGACTTTGATTTTGATTATCCCTAATAATGTGTGGGCATGGTGCATATCTTAGCTAGACCTAAATCAAAAGAAAATAGTTGCTTAAGTCTATAAAGTTATAGATCTGATCGGGTTAGTAATTATTCAAATATTGTTATCTATTAAAATATTTTAATTATTTATTTAAAAAACAGTAATTTTTGGAAATTATCATAATTTTAGAAATATTGCTAATTTTTTGGTAATTAAATGCAATTTTATACTATTTATAGATTAAATTATAATTATTGTTAATTACAATTTAAAAATAACTGTTGTTAATTATATTACAATTAATAATCAAAATACATTATTTTTTTCATTATTATTCAGTATTTTTGCAATAAAATACAATTAATTTAATTTTTAATATTTTAATTAGGCTTTAGTTTTTCAGAAATTTGGGATTTTTAATTATATATTGGTGTTTTTTCATTATTATTCAATATTTTTTTCATATAAGCATTTTTCAATAATTTCCAGTATTTTCAGCATTTATTTTTGCATATTACTCACTACAAAATTAATTTCCATTTGATTTCATTAAAAATAAATTAAATAAATAAATAAATACCATATTTAATAAAAAATACAGCTAACTTTCGATATTTTTCAATAATTTCTGGCTTGGATATTTTTTTAATAATATTTATATTTTTAATAATAAAATACTATTAATTGTACTTTTTAATAATTTTCAGTAAATAGCTTTATTAATACAAAATATTGTTAATTTTCGATATTTTTTAATTATTTTTAGTATTTTAATTATGTTTAGGTTTTCCAGAATTTTTTGGATTTTTAATTAATTGTTGGTATTTTTTCATTATTATTCAGTAATTTTTTCATATGAGTAATCTTTGCAATAAAATATTGTTAATAAAATAGGTTCTATATTTTAAATTTCCGCTAATTTTTATCATTTTTAATGAGTTCATTATGCACAATAAAGGCCTCAACTCATAAAATTATTAATTAATTAAAAATTCATTAATACAAAGCTATCTAATAATATTATTAAAACTATCAATTAATATTTTTATATTTAAATTTTTTATTTTTATTTAACTGTTGGTAATTTTTCATTATTATTCAATAATTTTTGCAATAAAATACTGTTAATAAAATGGGTTTTGTATTTTAAATTTTCATTAATTTTTATCATTTTTAATGAGTTCATTATGCACAATAAAGGTCTCAACTCATACGTTATCTAATAATATTATTAAAACTATTGATTAATATTTTTATATTTAAATTTCTTATATTTATTAGCATTTATTAAGCTTGATTTTTAAGTGGAATTGATACACATTTTTAACATTTACTAAGTTTTGTTAATATTTATTTTTAGTGAAAGTTTAGTGGATTTTTAAATTATAAATTTTTTGATTGTTTAACCTCAACCTATTTATATTATTTCTATTCTCTCTCTCTTAAATGTAATAATAAATTGTATTAAAATAAGAGGCCTTAGAAAACCCAAAGGTCTCTCTCTAATAGTGTATAATTTTATTAATCTAAGTAATGATTACTATTTTATATTTTTAAAACAAAAGATAATAAGAAAAAAATGCAAAAAATGGAGGAAATAGATAAATAGACACCCTTTTAAAAAATCCAGCCCAATCACGTTTGGGATAGTAGGCCGGGCCTTGGTTGTTGGACTTCAACTAACAAAAAGTCCACTTTTTAACCAAGAAATCAACATCATTAAACTTGATTGTGAATCAAGAACTAA